CGAAAAGTATCAGGGCTCAAAGCGATTGGAGTAACGGTTTCCGAGATATACTCACTTTAAAAATTGTTGAAAAAGATCTTCTGACAAATGTCGCTGTATCTTGCAAACCGTTGATCCAATCGCTTTTCCACCTTACAGTTTTCGATAGAACTCGTCGAGTACTATAAGAAACGCAACTCAGAACTACTCGGTACTCTCAAAAAAATTTTCAAAGATTTCTACTATTTTTTTTAACTTTATTATTCTTCAAAAATGTTTTTTATGTATCAAGAACTCTAGGTATTCACAAAATAGTTCTGTTAAGCTGATCAGAACTATGCGACCTTGAATTTCGTTAAAAAGTTAGTACCCCATTTTTAAAAAATTATTAAAAAATGATTATTAAGCGCATATGTCATTAAAAATCATAGAGAACTCTTCGTATCGTCAAAAAGAAGCAGGAATTATCATCAGAACTATTGTATCTAAAAATTAATTTTTCAAAAATTTTTAATTTTTTTTTTATTCGAAAATTTTTTTTACATATCAGGAACTCTAGGCAATCGCAAATTGAAGCTATTAAGCCGCTCAGAACTATTCCACCTCGAAATTCGATAAAAAGTTAGCACCCCATTTTAAAAAAATATAAAAAAAATGTTTATTGAGCGGAACTCTTTTGTTATTAACTATAGGGAACTCTTCGTCTCGTCAAAAGGAAGTGGAAACTGTAATCAGAACTCCTGAGTACTATAGTTGGGGTGCTAACTTAATATATCTCGATATTTTTATATAGTCTGTATCGTTGAACGTGCACACAGCGGTATAAAATAATTCATTTTTACACACAGACACACACACACACACACACACACAATAAAAAAAATTAAGTAATTTTACTCTTCGAATTGACCGAGAGGTTACTCACGAAATCATCAGTTACGAAAGCATTCACCACTGAAATCAAGTTAAGCTCAGAACTCCGTTAAAGTCTTTTCAACATAAAATTTTTAAGAATTCAAATTCAAGTTATATATAATAGTTAAACATGAAATCATTCGAAGTCGTACGATCATTCGCGAAACCACATTTCAAATTTATAAAAGATCGAAATCACTTGGCAGCCTCTCGCTCTTGACACGTCACAATTCAAACGTAGTAATACTGCAATTGCAACGAGGAGATAGAAGCTTTAATTGTTAAAATTTCTATTTATATATGATACTCATATGTTTGCACGTATACATTTTAATTTACGTTAAACATTTTTATATTAGTGTTATGTATATTGTATATTATCCAGGAGTGTCACCACAGTTTACATATCAAGTCTTCTTCATGAAGAAGCTTTGGACAAATACAGTTCCCGGTAAAGATAGAAACGCCGATTTGATTTTCCATTTTCATCAAGAACTTCCCAAATTACTGAGAGGTAAGTAATGATCATGAGATTGTTTAACTTTTATAATACACGCGTTTTACGTAATAATAAATAGTGCATCGTATTATATCATTGCCCGCAAATGTATAGGCTACCACAAATGTACAAAAGAAGAAGCATCAAGACTAGCGGCCTTGGTATATAGAGTACGATTCGGAGAGAGTAAACAAGAATTACAAGCAATTCCGTAAGTATTTCCCGACATCAATATTTAATTGACAGTTTTACAAAGGATAGATGTTACAAATAAACTCTCTTTCAATTTCAGACAAATGCTAAGAGAACTGATACCGGGTGATCTGATCAAGATACAGAGTGCTAACGATTGGAAGAGATCGATAATCGCTGCCTATAATCAAGATGCCGGTAAGTCAAAAGCGTAAATGACGAAGGTTTGTATAAAAAAAACATTGAGATTTTTATCGAGATATTTAAAATCTTCTAGGCATGAGTCCAGAAGACGCGAAAATTACATTTCTGAAAATCGTATATCGATGGCCGACGTTCGGTTCCGCGTTCTTCGAAGTAAAACAGAGCACGGAACCAAATTATCCTGAATTGTTATTAATTGCCATCAACAAACACGGCGTGAGCCTCATACATCCTCAATCAAAGGTAATCAAAACACATTATTTTCTTTCAATGAGAAATGCTAATATATGTAGAGTTATAAATATTATTTCTTGGTTTCAACTATGTTTTATCAAGTTATGGATATTGAACGTTATCAATAATCTGCAGACATATAATTTATTTATATATACAGGACATACTCATCACTCATCCCTTTACAAGAATCTCCAATTGGTCATCTGGCAATACCTACTTCCATATGACGATAGGGAACCTTGTGCGCGGGTCGAAGCTCTTATGCGAAACTTCATTGGGTTACAAAATGGACGATCTCTTGACTTCTTACATTTCGTTAATGCTTACGAACATGAATAAGCAACGAACGATACGAATCAAATAGCAACAAAAGTAACGTATGTACAATTTAAATAAACATTCCATGGCGCGAGCCTCACTGAATGCGCATCTCACAAGGTGCGGACGTTAAAATTGCACACAAATTTCTCAATTTGACTGTTTACGAGCACAAGATTGTGTATTAATTTAAGTAAATTTGTTAATTACGATACATTATACTGACGATAATTTTGCTTACAATATCGTCTCATCATTCCATAAATTTATTTCCACCTGAAGGGCTGCGTTCAGCAGAAAAAGCAACTTTGCAACAGTTGCAAAGCTGCTTTCTCTGCTAAACGCAGTCATTGATGAAACATAATTTAAATTCACATTTTATGTACTTCATACATTTGTCCATCACATCGTTCATTTATTTTATATTGTATACGACGTAAAATGTTTGTGGAGATAACTTTAGAATCATATTTTGATGCTACAATTTATACATATATAAAATATAGATGTAGTAAACTCGATTATTTCCATATCTACCTGTTAATTTATAATTCATAATAATCTATGCAAGAGAAATAACAATTTATATATGTACACAAGTTATAGCTGATAAATTTGTACATGATTTACTTATGATTAGGACTTTTTCATCGCTTTGTATAAAATATTATTCCCTCTATTGTACCGTAAATATCATTGGTAGATTTTGTAATTGGAATTCGTATTAATATTTTCAAGCAATTATCCACGCACTCTACGTACGTGCGTGATACGGGCATAATAACGGCTATGCTTAATATTCGTATTTAAGAAACACGCATTTACAATAGTTTTGCGAATCTACTGTCGATGGCGAATACTTAAAATTAGATATTTTCCGTCCAGCCAAGTTTATTATTAAACACATGTGGTATAAGTCAAATTTTGAGAAATCACGAATTCTCACAAAGATACGGTGCAAAATAATGCGATGTATCCGCGTAGAACAAAAAATTTCTCCAAATTTGCCTTGCTACCTCTACGGAGTATAATTTCGAAATGAACACCTCGCGCAAGAGTGTAATTACTATTAATTCGTTTTTATAATTGTGAATAAAGACGACCCCATACTTTCCAAGCGCAAAGTACGAGCGTTAATCGTGGGTAAATTCCCATGGAATGTATATATACCAGCGTTCCCCCTTTCCAACTCCAAGATCTCTTCGGGAAGACATTCCCAAGGTGATACTATCTCACTTCCTCTCGAAGATGACAGTGTTTCGATTATCTTTTGTAAAAGAAAAGAAGGTAGAGGATCCAAGTATGTACGTATATGTGCGCGCGCTCACACACATTAATGATTGAAAGCGTTTGTTTGGAAGGAATTTTTTTTTAAACACTTGCATACATATTTACTAAGATTTTTCAATATTTATTAAATGAGAAGTGTTAAATTTGTCCACTTTCAAAAGTATTAAATTTCAAACAAAATTAAATTAATTCCAAATTCAAAGGATCTATGAGTAAAAAAAGAATCACATGATTATCGATAGTACACATCGATAATGCATCTGTATATGTTGCTCGCAAAGAACTTCCAACAGTAGTTTTGGAATCGGGGATTAAATAAGAACTGATTAATAGACATTATGTAATATAAACTTTCTGTTTATTCTAAATGTATAGGAGCATAAAACTTTATATGCGCCTTCATTGTACTTATCGATATAACTACAATAAAGCACATAAATGTAATCTTTAAAACATTTTTTTTTCACAAGAAATCCTTAAAAAACGCTCCAAATTATGGTACAGAAAATGCTCGATCTAAAAAAAAAAAACATCTCAAGTATTATAAATACAAGTATGCGGGTGTAAACACCTGAGGAACACGCTGTCATCGCTATTGTGTCATTCTAACTTTATCGTTCATTAGACGTGAAACAAGTAGCTCTAATAGCACGCGCCCCGAACGCACCCTTTCCGCACGATGTAATTTAAAGATCCATCCATTCGTTCGAACGATCATAATTTCCAAAATCCACATTTTTAATAAAGAAAAATACGTAAAAATATGTGCAACGTCACGTATCTAATGCTAGAGGAATTTGTTTTGTTTTGTCTACATTTTATTTTATTTATGAAAGTTGGATAATCAAAAATTAGTCTTACGCGAGCATCTCAAAGACATTTAACGCAATTGTTACACCGGGATCCACATAATTGTAATCACAATAAGTGCTGTACGTACATTGAGATACTATATACATACAATTACATACACCCGCGCGCGCGCACACATACACACGAACACATCTACTGACTCTATCAATCTCTGATCGTTTTCACAATCAGCGCCGATTCATCACGCATATTTTCCCTCAATGAAAGTAAGGATATTTATGACACATCGATTTTTAATCCAAATTGAATAGTAATACACAATTGATTTCAAAAAATTTTCTAGCCTAATCGGATTCTGGCTGTCTCAAAAGTTATTTAATAAAAAAAAAAAAGAAAGATAACATTCTAATATGATATATGTATATAATTATATAATATAAATATTAAGATAATATAATACAAATTTTAATATTATTTTTTATTTTAATTATTAATATTATTATTATTAATTTATATTAATTCATTCATATAAAATTCACAATTGCGATCCACTTCTCACGATCCGTTCGACGATCTAATCCGATTATTTCTGAGACAGAATTAGACCAAGAAATTTTTTTTAATGCATCAATTGAGTACTACTGTTCGGTCGGATTAGAAATCCGACGATTTGTCGTAAACATCCTACATGCATTTATCATGCATCTCCTAATAAATAATGAAAAAAACATTATTGATATAGCGCGTATATGAATTTACAAATGTACCAAATATCGAGGCCGTCGTGCGCGGGTTCAAAAATACATCACGTACCTTGTTCCTATCTAACTTTGTACAGAATAGACCATTCTCGCAAAGCAACGCTCGGATTTCGGTTCTCGATCACTCTCGTATAAATCCGTGTTTTTCCCTTTTTTTTTTTTTATAAAATGATATTCTGTCGATAAGATGAAAAAACGGATAAAACTGACGTATTTAAAAAAATTAGAATTTACGATACGATCGGTAACAATGTAGCCAAACGCAAAAGTTATAACTTCGAGATCCGTTATACCGAATTCCAAGCGTGGCAACAGCTTCTTTCGTAACAAATATAATGTTAAAAGCACAACCATCGTTCGGTGATCGATATGCGGATGTATAGACCGTTTAATAGTTTTGTATCTTTCTTGAAGTGTTAGATGAAACGAGAATGAAATTACAAGGGAAACGTTTCACTTGCCGAAAATTTTATCGTCCGTCATCGCAACTCAGTCTATACACACTAGCGTAAGCCGCGCTTAATAGTTAAACCTACAGGATTGCTATGATAAATTATTATCTCTGTAAATCTGTATCTCAACAACTTGCAAGTTCCACGATCTTTAGCGCGCAAAATTCGATGCGCCACGTCGTCGTCGCATCACGTCGGATGCACTGAGCGATACGCTACGTTTCCGTATTGTCCGAATTTGCACCGTATCGCGCCGCATCACCATTGATTTCGAGAAACAAATCTTTCGTCAGATACGAGCAATCACCATCGCCGCTCTCACTTGTGTCGTCGCCGTCTTCGTCGTTTTCGTTATCGTCATCGTTATCGTTGTCATCGTTGTGAGACACGACGGCTGGCGTTACACCGTCCGTATCATTACAAGTAGTATATCGTAAACTTTGGTTCGCGTTGTGACGATTATCTAGAAGACATCAGAGACCCGACTGTGGCGGTTGACCGTGAGTGTTCCAGGGCACGTCGGCGGGCATTGCGGCAGGTGGTATACTGGCTTGATTGTGCATGGCACGTGGCGCTCGCATAATCTCGTCGGCGGGCGGACAGTGCGGACGCGGCCCTGGCTCGGGCGTATACGTAAAAGTGAGACCGGTCGCGTAAATGATACCATCGTTGCGTACGAGAGAGACCGGTACTTGCGTCGGCTGACGTACCCAGAGCCACTCGCCGCGAAAGAGCGAGATGTCCGGCACGACGCAAAGCATGCTCTCTTGACATCTGTACATAGTCTCGGCCTCCACGTCGCCGAACCAGACTTGCAGATTTGGCGTGAAATTGTCGCCCGTTAATTCTAGCATCGCCACGTCGCCGCCGCCGTTGAGATGCAGACTGTGAACCAGTGGTACGGGCGTCACCGGTGACCGTACTGGACCCATACCTTCGAAGAATTGGTACTCTGCTTTGTCGGTGCTGATGATGGTCCAGCAAGCGCCGTCGTTGATCATCTCCTTGTTTGCTTCCTTCGGGCAAGGCGTAGCCTGAAATTGTATTATACGCTCCTGCGATAGACACAAGTACATATGATCTGTGTCCTTCATGTAAAAGGCACACTTGTGTAACTGCGATACAGGATCATCCGCCTCCAGACTAGCCATTTGTTTGTCTACCTTGCGGATCACCAGCCGCGGCAGAGCCATTCCTGTGACGGAGCATACTAGTTTCACGGTGCTGCCGTAGTGCACGTAACCGTCGCGCACTTGAAACTCCTCCGACTCGCTCTCGTTATCGTCCAAGAGGTGGATGGTGAATGCGCCCCATTGCGTCGAGCTCGCGTGGAAATTGCCATTCTCCACGTGAAGGTAGCGCGTACTGACCGTCTGCGATCGCAGTCGATTGAAAAGCGCCACCTTCGTGCCACTGGCGATGCACAAGTCTGCGTTCTTCAGGGACTGTTTCTTCTTGGACGGCTTCGAGATGACCTTGATACGCTTGCTGTGAAAGACGCCGATGTCGTGGCCACTGCCGTAAAACATTTTGACAGAGAGCATAAAGTGCTTCCGCTTGTCCGAATCAGAGATGTAAAGGGTCTTTGCCGCGCAGTACTGTTTGCCGTTGTTCAAATCCAATTGTTGCATGTCCTGATCCGAATTCCCAATACCGATGAAAGCGCACAGTTGAGCGCTCTGCTCACTCTCGCCTTCGCGCAACATTTGCTCCTGACGCATCCTCCAGCCATCACCGAAGAGATAGATACAGGGTGGCGGACAGAAGAAACGTTTCTCATTGCCATACGATTTCTGCGCAACCTTGGCATGTAGGATCACGATCACCATATCGCTACGATCGCGCAGATAACGTTCCATCGCCTCGCGGGTAAGTCGCTGGTCCTGGTGATCAGCCCTGTAGATGCCGGAGCCGAATCGAGGATAAACGGACATGACCGAGGTCGGCGAGGGCGGAGATTGCATACCATGTGCCATCGTTGGCAGTCCAAATTGGTGTGGCATATTTAAAAGTCCGGATTCGACTCTCGTGCGAAACGGAATAACAAATTTCTCGCCGCTGGCATCGATTTATAGCTTCATCTTTCGAGCGTGCCTTCCCGCGATCTTTTACCTACGGCCAATTAAATTATCTAAGTGATACACGACATAAATACAAACAAAATTATATATAATATAATTATCACATATAATATATAATACGTATATGTATGTACATAAAAATCAGTTGCCAATGCAATTGGCTGTATGCATTTACCATCATCTTGGGCAGGAAGAAGTGCAATAATAGCGTGTGGATATAGAATCAGAGAGAATTAAAATTAGTATGGAAAAACAAGCGAAATTAGTCGAAATCGTGTAAGAAATGTAACTCGGCCAAAGTAGCGTATAGATTGCAACGAGTGAACGAAGAGCGGCAGCACATTAAATTAAAACTAGTATGCAGACGGAATAGCACACTTGATTAATCATGTCTCTTTTATACATGTATACGTGGTGTATGTGTGTGTGTGTGTGTGTGTGTGTGCGCATTACATATAATGTGATACACATCCAACAATAAGTGCGGCGCACGCGAGTGCGTAAGATTATAAAGATGTGTAGTAAAAAGTCTACATGTAGAAGTAGACGATATCGTGACTTGAAACGCGTGATAATGTATTCGTACAGTAGCGTCACCGTTAGTCATTCGCGCGATTAAGCGCGAATATACCGAACCGCATACAAATGTCCGCTCGTTCGAAGCTTTAGCGTGAGAAAGATTTTTGCTTTTTACTGGGGACGAGACGTAATTAACTCGAGATATCTTTCTTCAAACGAGCTATCAAGAATTGCTAGTCTTGGCACAGGAAAGAGGAAACAACGTATACAGACGTACACACACGCACACCGTGAGAACCAAGCCGGACTCATTTTTCCTGCATGAATTAAAAGCGCTTCTATCCATTGTGGTAATACAGGTAGAGTTTATGTTTATACACTGGGAAAAAACGTACACATCACAATTAATAGCACAATTTTTACCTCGTTATACAAACGTTACATTAATTACACGAGATCGACGTTACGAATCAAATATACATAAGTGTAGAAAACAAATTTGCAATTTTATTAATCACCTACCTTATAGATTATACTACTTCTTTTTTAAGCCCCTTCCTTTCTCTATCTTCTTTGAAAATAAACTTTCGATAAAAATGCTCTCTGTACGTACATTTGATTTCTATAAGTTTGTCATTTTAATGGAAACCATCATGTTGTATATGTGTATATGTAACTTCTCTGTAAGAAGAAACTTTTTTTGTCTGTTTCTACCAACGTAGAGTAACTTTAATCTCAATTGACTCTTCAACTCTTTCTAATTTGTAAAAGAGTCAGTTGAATCAAATTAAAGTTAACTATTTAAATTAAACTATCATTATCGTTTATGTCTCCTTCTAAATAAATTCAGTCATATGGACTTGCTATACATTGGATTATACTGCATAATAATGTGAAACTCTAACCAGGAGTCAATAATTATTTTTAACTTTAACCAACAAAAATTTGTCTCCAAGAACATGGATCAGAATTTTATTGTATGATACAGTGATATTGTTGATTCATATGATATATATGTATATAGCATCTCATGAAATTAATAATCTTCTATAATCTGTTCTCGTTGCTATATCCATTCATCCTAGTAATGCTATGATCTACAGTGTAATTGCATAATGCTGAACGCGATAGAAAGTAATACAGTGAAGCAAAAGTTGATAATTTAGTATTGCAATTCAACGATAGCCATAATTATATCAGAGTGCGAAAGAGAAAAGTATCTGTCAAGTACAATACCGTCTTGCTTAATTAGGATAATCATAGTAATAAAAATCATAGAATTTGCCTAATGACATAATCCAAGTCTACAAACGTGAATGTCCGATTAAATACTAAAAGAATATAAATGCATTATTCAGCAAGAAAAATACCTACCCGGTAAATTGGATCCAATGTTATTATGCACTATATGTGCAACATCATGTAAGATATAAATAGTAGAGTATAAAAAGTATCTTTTTTTTTTCTTTTGACTTATCGTTGTTGATCTCTCACATTACGTTTGCTTATCCACATTGAGATACATCGGATTAGGTAAAAACTACACTGCCAAAATACACAACGAAAAACGTGTGACACCGTTCTATCGCATGCAGGTTGCGTGTAGGCTCTCTCGCGTGCAAAGAGAGTCTAGACTAGATTGAAATGAAAATGGAGCAAAAATGAAAAGTGTGTAACAAGCAAGAAGCACTTTTCAGCGGTCGTCGAAGGAAAGGGAAGAACGGAAGGTCCGTTGGCTCGGCGGCCGTCGTGGTTGAAGTCGCTGGAGGGAATGAATAGGGTTATGAGAGGATCGATCGATGGGATGCGATAGGGAACGCGGGATCGAGTGGTGACATGTGCGAGAAAGGTACGTCTTGTTTATTTACCTTTCGACGCGAGCAAGAGGTTACGGAAACAGCAACCAGGTTAAATTTCGTCCGGCTCGACTTACCTCCTCATATCATTGTTGATGGCCGGGCGTCGAGAATATAACCGCGTACCCGCGTGCATCCTCCGTGCTATCGATCATCCGGAGCGGCCAGGAGCGCGGCTGCCAAGTCCCGGCGATTGTTCACCACGGCCACCACGGCCACCACGGCGCGGCGAGAATCCTTCCGCGTTCTCTCGTCCTCTCTCTCTCTCTCTCTCCCCCTAATCCATTCAAAAAACACCTGTTCACTTTCCGAATTTTCCGAACAGTCCTACCAACCGCGCTCGACAAAACACGGCAGCGTCTGCGGCAGCGTGTGACGCGACGCGCACAAAAGTATACGCGGGCAACTTGAATCAGATTCGAATCGGGGAAACGTTGTCGCGGGCACAAATGAACGCGCGCGTCTCTCTCTCTCTATCACGATCGTGCGAAGTAACGTGTGGCGCGAATAAAATCGGCTAAACTCGACGCGACCGCAGACGGATGACTACTGACTTGGAAAGCGAGTTCGGATGTGAGGTCTTGCGACGGCATTGAACGGCATGCGGCGGCGACGTCAGAGCAGAGGCGAGTAGAGGTATATCGCTCTGATTGTCGTCGCTCGTCGCGCGTCGCACGCGCAAGTGACTTACCACGAAACGTAGCGGGCAAAGGAGAGGGGAGCTCTCTCTCCCGACGTGCAATTTGAAAACAAATACCGCGATATGCCAGTGGTGGAGACCGCGTTCTCGGAGTAGCCGGAGTTGTCAGACACACGCGACAACGTTCACTACGATGCGACGTATGAAATTTGCGCGCGAACGTCGCCCCTCTCTCGCTCTCTGTGGCGTTTAAATTTTTAACCGCGTAACAAGAATAATGTGGGAGAACTTTTCCTCGCGCGACGAATTCAAATCGACGTCTCTTACCCGCGCCCGCGAATTAATACAGAGGTATATCGAGGTAAACACCCGATATACCTGTATTAAATCGGCGGCTAGCCTGCGCCGATCAGACGTGAATAAAATGAACAAAATTCATATATATTTGTCCGAGCCCTACATACCTGTCTAATTAATAACGAGATCGATTTTGCCTGGTACATGCATCCCCTTTCCCATTGCTTTTCTAGATCATAGCCCCGTTCTGCGCGATATATAACACATCGCGCTCGATTTGATGATGTATACACACACACACACACACACACACACTCTCTTTCTCTCTCTTTCTCTCCTTAATCGCGCGATGACACTTTTTTTTTTAATCGCGCCTGTACAATTTGCGATATACTTTGGCGACAACATACAGCAGCGGACAGCCCCACGCAGATACGTCACTGATGCTGCAGATTCTATTGTTTGTACAATGGCCCGGTCTCGACCCGAGCGCCTCGCAGCTCCCTGCCTCCCCTCCACCTGACGCCGCTTCTCTCCCGTCGTTTCCATCCATTCCCCTCTCTCTCTCTCCCCCCTCTTT